ATGGGTTCTGGTTCAAGTGGTGCCGCTTCTGCGATCACTATCCAATTCAATGAAGCACAGCCTTACGTGGCAGGCCAAGATCTAACGGGTATCGTCGAGTTTAACAATACGTTTGAAAAAGATGTCAAACTTCAACGTATCTACGCTGAATTCGTAGGCGAAGTTGTTTATACGACTAAACAGTATAATGGAAGTGGATATCGAAATGTCACTCATCATGACCCCTTCTTCCAACAGCTCATTAGTCTGCAAGAACAGCAGGTGAGAATGTTCGTTTATAAGTATCTTATATTTTTGGCCTGTGTAAGAAGATTATAATTATAATGGAGGTGCCTGATATTTTCCAATGAAACACGAAAATAGTAAATGCGAAGTTTTGACAAATTAAAAATTAACAGAAATCCTCTAACTTATTTAAAGCTTGGAAATTTTATTTATGCCTGTCTTTTGGAAAACTGTTTCACCTATTCCCGCAATTTTTGGGCCAAATGCGCAGAAAGTTTGGCTTCAATTACTTCCTTAGAAATATATTAATTTCAAAAAAAACGAAAGCAAATATTGACGTTGGATAGATTTTTATAGTAGAAGGATCCGAAAGAAGTTGAGAAGGGCATCCGCTATAAGTCGTTTCGCACATCTTATAGTCTCTGATTGGCTTCATTCAGTACAGCTCGTCGGACAGTCAGGATCAATTTATTTAAACTGACATTTTAAAAATGAAAATATACAAAACGTATTGCTCGATTAGAATTCGTCGAAAACAGTTCAATTCAAAGGTTGAAAACAAATTAATTTCTCGATTTAAGGAGCCCACTTTGCGCGACCTAAGCGTCATGAGGATGGAAGTTGAGCCGGACACTTTCCCAAGAGTGATGGGTGATGCTCTTCAGAGGAAACTGAGCCGGTGTCAAATTTATGTTTGCTTGTTAAGCAAAACTTGGTGATGATTCATTGTTTATTCACCTTCAGGGGTTACTTTTTCAGTATTTTGAACTTTCTTCCCACAGTTTTTGAGGTAGAATTTGCGGAGCAGTCTCAATGGAAAGACGACACAAAATTCAAGAGATTGTGGCACCACTATTTTGGATTTCGGTTTATAAGAGTAGTTATTGAATTTTTGAGACTTTTGAATTTTGTAGTACTTTTAAATAACTGTTCTTAGGAATCAACATTCAAAAAAGTGGGAAAACAGTTGATAGAGCTTGGAAGTCTTTATCGATAAAGCCTACTCCGCGCTCGACATCTCCATATTTGACGGACGAAAGCTGAAGGTCTCGCCCGCTACTTGACCACGAAATCATTTTCAAAAAGCTTTCAAAAATTTGACTGATTGAAATTCGGATCCATGTGTTCTACTGCCACAAAAGCCTTGAGCCAAATCGGTCTACAAGGGCTAATTTTTTCTGAGGGCGGACACCCTAAATTAAACTTTTTTTTAGGACGGCTTTGCTCTTACAAGTAACTACTGCTCGTGGCCTGTCTCCTTTTCTCTACCAGACTTTCTTCCGCCATCACTCAATCAGTTGCCCACGCATGGTCCATTTATTCGCTACCAAATTCGTGTCGTTTTTGAGCGACCCGAAATGTACAAGATGAATGTTCGCCGAAAGTTTCCTATTCTCGTTATTGCTCGTCAATTTTCTGATGTGTATCAGTCCTTTCTTCCGGTGGAGGCAGAGAACAAAAACCGCAGCGATGTCACTCTTCATGCTGTTCTGGCCGGTCGAGACAATCCTCTTACACCTGGCAGCAGTTTTCTGCTCAACGTTGACTTGCACAACCCAAATCATGCTAGGATCAAATCTTTACCTATTGATCTGATACAGCATCGTACCATAGGGAAGGGAGGCCACTGTGAACTGACCATTCCCGTGTTGAATTTGCCTCATTTGCAAGAATTCTCTGGTGAACATTACAATGACACAATTGAACTGACAATTCCTGCAGACTATCGCGTCATCCCTTCGTTTCATTACATACCACCGACAGGAAGGCCAATTGCTGTGGAATATATGCTCAAACTCGAAGTGATAGTCCATGGATTCTTTAAGAATTTCATTTTGAATATTCCCGTCGTCGTGCACCCAAAGCAAACGTACATGGACGCACCCAAGGAAGAAGAAGCAGCACCACCGCCCTATGATTTTGTGGTTGGAAAACATTGAGTTCTGCGTGTGTGTGTTTGGCTTCTGTCAAACAAAAAGCCTGTTTGTGCTGATCTCAAAAATAAGTCGTATTTTGAGCACAAGTATAATAACGAGTGGCCCAGATTAAACCGGTCATTTTTGTTTTCTATTTTTGAAGCACTAATAAACGTTTTGAGTTCATTCGATAGAGAATTCATTGCTCTACAAAACTGTTGTCTTTGTTTTCAAATAAATTTTTCTTTTCGGCGCAAACTTCAAAATCTTAACACCTCCTAAATCGTCCAACTGCGATCTCCTGCTTTTTGCAGGCATCTATCGATTTGTATGCTCATCAAGTCCGATGCTAAAAGAAAAGTATTTAACATGAATAGATAGAGAATTTTGTGCTCTATGCTTCCAGGACCTTTTCAAGGTTCCCGGTGCTATCATTCAGGAGAAACGGGCTTGAAACTAACACCTGATGATATTTTAGGATGCATTTTGGGGAAATCATGTTTTCCAAAGCCAGACGTGATGTATGACCCGTCGCATGTAGAATTTAATTCTGAACAACATGGTGTGCCTTAAATTGAACAGTGAAAACTTTTAGATTGTGTCGAACAATGACATAGGTCTGTCAGAAAAGGGATTTTTTTGGTATTATCGCATCTTTTACTTCAAAAACTTTTCTCGCAAATATCTCTTCTAGAGTTCTGAAACATTCATCAAAAGATGTAGAATTTTGCGGCATATTTGAAATTTCAGCGGAACCGTTATTAAAAGTTTTTCATTATTTTTTCGTTTTTAACCGTCGCAGTTGGACGAGTGAGGTTTTAATCTTTTGAATTTTACGCCGAAAGAAAATTTTATTTGAAAAATAAAGTCGACGGTTTTGTAGAGTAATGACTTCTCTATCGAATGAGCTCAAAATCGGATTTTAAAACGATTTTTAGTGTCTCAAAAACAGAAAACAAAAGTGTCCGGTTTAATCTGGCCCACCGGTTATCTTCATTTTCACTTTCTGAAGTATTTTATACATTCTTGTTAGATATTCGTTTCATCGATGGACAATAGATGAGGAGAATGTAACAAATTCAACCATCTAATACTATCTTGTCCTAAATCGAATTGAATGATGGAAAATATTTTTCTTTTTAATACTTTTAAGATATTTTTCGCATTGTTCACGACATAAAATAACTGAACATGGTTAATAATGCCATATAGATTTATTAGATGAACAAGAACATTATGTAGCCATACTAATGTTAAACATTTCAGGTTTGAATATCTATTATTCTTCAGATACTCTCTCTCTCTGTCTATTGAATAAAATAAGCGAATTTTCATTATTCTATGCTAGTATCCATGACGGGATGCCAATTGATTATTTTAATTATTACTTCTACTACAGCTGTGTTGTTGTTTTTTTTATTAATAATAAAATGAAAAGAATTGATTTTTTTAAAAAAAAAAATATTTTCAAAAGTCGTTTTTATATGATTTCACTTATTTATTGATGCATGATACCTATCGTAGAATGTTCCCTATCCTTCCTTCTTCATTTCATTTTTCATATAATAAAAGTAATATTTTCACTTTAGAAATCTATTATTCCAGTTAAACAAAAAGAATAAAAATAGCGAAACTGTCTGTATAATAGTTATAATCATAATATTTTATATATACGAGATTGAGTACTGTTTTCGTTCGGCTAATTTTTGTTTTTTTGATACACATGCACACATCAATGAATTATAATATGATACATTATTTTTAATTAAATATTAGTATCATCATATTATTTGAAAAATCATTTACAAAAAAAGAAGTTAGTCAACCCTGATTATTTTAAACAAAACTTGAAAAATACCAAATGTAGATTAAGAAATCATTAATCCGAGAGTTTTATGCATCCAAATTTCGATACATACTTTATTCTTCAGTTTTCTTAGAAATTTTATATTTAACACTAAACATCTCTATATCAAAGAAGAAGAAGAATGGACCCCGCCTTTCGGCAATCTTACGGTATAGGGTGCTGTCCGAAGACAGTTTCGTAAGTCCGTTATCTTCCTTACAACTAATACTAGCTGTAGCTCTGGACAGAAGGCCAATCTGACTCAGAGTTCTTTCGCTCATGCGCTTGAGCTGTACACACTGACTAACCCCATACTAGTTACGAGTGCTGGTGCATGTCACAACGTAGTCAGCATGATACCGGTCGGGTGATCTGAGGCAAACAACCATTAATGACTTGCTCAGGGTCATTCCATGTCTGGTGGCGCCGAAGCTATATCAAAGAGACGATGATATATATACTCGTCTAAACAACAACTATATAAAACTCTGAATATTTAATTTTAAAATGTTTCAATTGTTCTTCAACTGTGAACGACAGAAAGATCAATGATTACAAAAACTATTTTTATAATTTTCTTGTTTAAAAAAGTGCTTTTTATTTTTTCACCTTTCACTTCTTCACATAGAATAAATTGTTCATTTTTGATGAAAAAACATCTGGGAAACTATGGTGTTGACAGACGTATGTTGAAAGTGAACTCAAGTGTCTAAAACAGCAGAAACGAATTTTTTTTTCGAGATTTTTATGTGCTTCTTTGTTCGACTGCCATATATATGAAAAAAGAATTAATGGCTGTCGTCGCCTGTTTTAATAAATACTGTTTCTTTTAGCTGGTACGTTTGAAAAAAATTTTCATTTCACTCTTGTTCGATGACAGTACATTTTCCGGAAAAAAAACAGAAATAAATATCATTAGATTTATAGAGAAGAGTGACCAGAAATCTCTTATCTTCATGTACTACTATATATCTTTATTTTTTCAGATGTTGTTCTGGAATTAAATAAAAGACATGCCATCATCTTCATCTCGTATTAATCGTAAGCCTTTGAAACTACTGGATATAAATTCCCAAGATACACTTTTCCGTCAATTATTAAAATTTCGAATTGATGGTCATACAATTGATGCACGTAATGTCGATGAATTATATCCAGGTGTTGATCGTTTGTTAATTCGATGTTTGCAAACAGGAGATTGTCGACAATTGGATAATCGTTTAAAACGAAATTTAAAAGCAGAATATTTATTAATCACTGGAAAACATATACACATTAGTTTCAAATCACAAACTGAAGATATACTGGAGAAATTAATTCATATGGGAGCTACACTAGGTACGCAAAAAGAAATTTACTCTTGATTCTTCATTATAACTATGCTCACTAGGCGTCGTATATGAATTTAGAAAAAAAAGAATTTGTTTTGCAGTCTTTTTTGGAGGAGAAGAAGGGATTTAGACGATACCATACACTTTTAATCATTTGTTTTAGTGCAGATTTTTCGAGTAAGTGTGCCAACGTTTACATAAACGAATTTTGTGTCTAGTGGTAATTACAAACTGTTTCATTAAAACATCTGCGAAACTGTACCATAGATCGCAGATAGTTTTATAAATGACCATATCGAGTAATCGAGCCATCAGTTAGCTTCACTTTCTGGTCCAATTTGTTTTGTTTATCACTGTATCTCATTACGTCATCAACTAATATACTACTGGGGCATTGTTAACAAACGGTTAGTCATACACATTCATTCAGTGTTCGTCATCAGAATCACATTACGAGAGAGTTAAAGTTTCGCATTAGGATCGATCAATGTGGAATCTTCCAACAATAGAGATGTGCAAAGCAGCTGTCTTATTTTGAATCTAGTTTTATTTGAATTATGACACTTTCTTACTTTTCAGATTTGATGAAGCAAAGTGTATCTGAGGGGTGAATCGTGAGAAATCTTTGTCAAGCTTCTAGTGGGTTTTCAAAAGTATTTCACCGTTTTCTCGACTTTTCCATAAACGAACTTCAGATTAGACACCACTTCGTAATCAGCACGAAAAGTTGCGTTACATGACACTTTTAACAAATATTTTTCGCTAGAGGAATCATCTTCAATCTGGTAGATTTTAACTTGTTCTTTCAGATGAAAAAAGTTTTGATTTGTGTTCAGAAGGAGAGAAGAGGGGGGGGGGGGGGGGATTTTAAAACCCAAAAAAAAAAAAGCCCCATTTTTTGTTAAATTAAAATGCCCGTTCCTTTGAACCTAGTTGACAATTGGGTTGGTTTTGGGGTTTTTTTAAAAAAAATTTTTAGGTTNCCCCCCCCCCCCCCCCCCCCCCCCCCCCCCCCCCCCCCCCCCCCCCCCCCCCCCCCCCCCCCCCCCCCCCCCCCAGTATCATACTCCAAATAAAACTAGACGCATTTTTCTGTACATTCAAATGCAGATTCCTAGGAACGAAGTTACAGATAGGGTAGGATTAGGGCTTTGTTTAAGAAAAATTATATCGTTTCACATCGATAGATTCGGCCAACATCCCTCACAGACATAACGAGACTCTAAAACGCAAAAATTATTATATATTCGAGTACAACATGAAAAGTTACTTGTAGAAACTGTTTTTGAGCATTTTCGATATAAGTGTGTATTCAATAATATGTAACAAACTTTGCTTTATCGAAAGCGATAGATGTTGATTTATACATTAGATAGAAAAGTATTTTAATTTACTTGTAGAAGAGATAAATGAAGCGTCGAAAGTTAGACAAAAATGAGTATTAAATAACGATAATAATGCTAAGTTTTTTGTAATAGTAAAATAACGATATCTTCGATTGTGCATCCGTAGCGCATTTGCCGTTTTTACCAAAAGGCATAATGTTCAAATTCATGTCATTTTTAAAAAAGTGGAGAAGAAATTTTCAAATAATTCCTGGGGGTTTTGAAAAGAGCTTCATTTGCTCTGTCTCATTTCATTTTCTACCATCCTTCCAAAAGGTTTCACACCATAATACGAAACTCTTTCGCTCTAATAAACCTTTCTTTGGTGTTTTCATTTATAATTTATTATTGTCAGACAATATTGAACCTATTCGTGCTAGATCGTCTAACATTTTCTATAGTCTGACTTTCAATTGACTCGATCTATCTAGATTTGGCTTGTTTTAGAGATTGTCAACATTTCAGCATCAACAGAAGTAGAAACGAAAATTCATATTTCTTCTTTGTATATCATCTATTTTTCTTTTATGTATCTATGATAGATTTGCATTTTTATGAACCGATTCATATGAAAGAATTAGAATTATTATGTCGGTATGGTTTTAATGTTAATGAAAAAATAGAAAAATACAATAATCAAACACCATTATCTATATTTATTAATAAACGTTATTCAGTATCTATGTTAGATGTATTAATTCAGAATGGTGCTCGATTTGATAGTCAAGATAATGTTGGTCAAACAAGTGTTCATGTGGCATGTCAAGCACCCGAACATCTATTTGAATATATTATTGAAACTGCTCCATCCTATTGTGTTAATATTAAAAATCAATATGGTAGTACACCATTAGATTTAGTCTATTATTTAGCTTATGAAGATCCATCATTAACACGTATGCGTCGTTTACATATTATATTAAATAAAAATGGTAAATTAACACGTTATGGTATGCGTGAACCAGGATTACTCAATTCAAAACAATATAAACTATTTGATATTTTGGCATGTAAAGAATTTCTTTTAAAATATCGTTTACGTGATGTATTTGATCTTACAATTCGTCCTTTAACATGGTCAATATTTTTATTTTATGATGTTTTACGTAGTTGTGAAAATTCAACAGTCTGTTCTACTGATAATACTATTGTATTAGCACCACTTCAACGAAATCAACATTATCAACCATCAATACGTAATAGTCAAACAATAAAAACTATTCAATTACGTTTAGAACGATATTTTATTGCTTTAATTGAAAATGGTGAAATATCTATTGAAAAATTAATTCATAATCATTTATATCAACAAGATTATGCATCTTTATCCTCATCACCTATGTCAGAATTAGATAAAAAAATTATTACTGATACTCAAAATAATTTGATGAATATGACCTATGCTCGAATGAAATTAAAAGAATTAAAACATCAAACATTAACATTAAAAACAATGTGTAGAATTAAAATTAAACATCAAATTAAATCTTATCCAAATGATATTGTAAAATTAAATATATCAAAAATATTACAAGCCTATTTAACATACTATAATCCATTTATTAAAGCAAATATTGATTAAGAAAAATAGTGCCATGTAAAAATATTATGCTTAATATTTTAGACTCTTCAAAGTAAATTATCATCTGTTAAAATATATTGTGAGACTAGATTCACTAGATTTTGTTGAAGAATCACTCACACTTTGTGTATACAAAAAATAAAATTGTCAAACTTTTAAGTTAAACTATGAAATTTTAAAAGTTTCTTCTTAAACCGTTAAAAATAATCTTAAAAATTGAACAAAAAAATGAATACAAGTCAAAAGTTATTGTGCAAATATAAACAAAAATATGACAACATAAATTATTCTAAATGTAAATCACTCGTATAATATAGAAATTAAAAATGATAAATTACCAGTTTTGCAGATAGTTTTATTGTTGTTTTGTATAGTTATACGTTTAAATCAATAATAAATAATGAAGCAACATGTATTAAACAAAGCATACAATGAGAAAATATAGCCGATTTCCGACTACTATGATCATCCACTGTACTGGAAACAATTATGCGAACACCTATTTCTCTTCGTTTGATTTTTTTTCCTCAAATGGAAAGCTAAACACAGATTTCTAAAGTTATACGAGTAGCTGAAAGATTTTCCTGTCAGAAGAAGAAAAATATAAAAGTTCTCTTAAAACTGCTGACCAATGAGTTTCCGAAAAAGCAAAATCCTAGAAAAATTCGATCCTAGAGTTTGAACCGAAAACCTTTTCCAACAACTCACTCTCTAAAAAAAATTCCGTAGCTTACAAAAACCGATATTCGTTTTGTAAGCTACGAATTTCTTTTAGAGAGCACTCCTATGGCGTAAACACTTTGAGCAAAATGAGACGTTTTCCAGTTCACTGTTTTTCCATCAAATGACAAGAGCTTCAACAACCAAAGTTACTCTCTAAAAAAACAAGGTTTATTACGAAACCTAAAAGGGTATCGAGAAGTGCAACCATTTCGAAAAACCGTTTTAGGTTTCGTATGAATTCCTTTTGTGTTTCGTACTTCGACTACGAAACCTTTATGTTCGCCCAAAATCATAAACGGTTTCGAAATGGTTGCACTCTATACCCTTTTAGATTTCGTAATAAACCTATTTTTCAGAGAGTAGCGAACAAAACTGATTAAAACTCAGCAAAAAAAAGCTCCTTCAGAAATTGATCTCTATTTATTTAAAAAATAACGCATCTGGTTTTGCTCAGAACAATTGCTTTATACCGGATGACCCAAAATGTTGACGGTATTTTTTATTTTGCATACATCTCAGTACAGCAAAATAATAAAATTTTCAAAATTTTTTTAAACAATGCGTAATTCAATTCTTTACAAACTTCTATTTACCTCAAGTAAAATAATAAAATTGAACGTTTTTATAGATCACACAGTGTGATGATATGAATTACATCTACTTCTCACACATTTTTTTTTACTAATTTATTTTTTCTATACAAACGAATATTTCGTTTTTGGTTTCATGTACTCTAATGCATTTACAATAAACATTATTATCACCTCTGAGTAAACGTATCTGTTCCTGATAATCATTGGAACTTGCATCCATTTTAATGATTTGATCGTAATAATGAAGACCTGTTTCGAGGTTTCTGTCAGCTAAATCGTGTTTTTCTAATCATCAAAAACACCTTCCTATAGCTGCATAGACATCATCTACCTGAACACAACAATTAAATCAATTGTTGTTAATCTGAACATAACAATAAAGTTGATTTTGAGTTGCTGAAAAGTGTTTCTTCGTATTCAGCACACTCGATAATCCAGAAGATTTTCTGTTTTTTGCGAGGAACACTTCCAAAAGTTTCGGAAAATTTTTCAAACTAATATTATTTTCCCATGGAAACTTTTTTGAGCTATTTTGTTTCAAAACTTTTCCTAAACTTTTGGAAGTACCCTTCTCGCAAGTAACTTCGGGGTTATCGAGTGTACTGAATACAAAAAAGCATTTTTCCGCAACTCTAAAACAACTTTATTCTTTTTGGTTCCGGTGATATACCATTATACACTTACCTAATAGTGTTCCTTGTGATTATTCTAACAAGAAAGTGCTCTCACTTTTCCTTGCACATAGTAAAAGAACTTTCATTTTCTGATATTTTAGTTGGTGGAGATGAGAGTATGATGAACTGGAGTTGCATTAGTTTTCCTCTTAGATACATTGACACACTGAAACACGCGAATAACACGTTTGCTGGACGTATGGATTGTGAAATTAATGACATTGAAATTTACTATTTACAATAAACGATTAGTTTCGCCAAATTTGTAAACGTTCTGTTTTTAAGAAGACCAGGGTGTAGGAAACAATGACAGTATGTTATTTCTTATTGTTTTATTTCCTGGACTGATAGTCTAGGGTCACAGAAAGGAAATGTCCGTCTGTGGGCAGTAGAGAAGTGACATCTTCGTAGAGGCCTGTTTCGAACATTCAACAAAAAGTGTACAGAAGTAAATTCTGAATAAAATGGGATACCTTTAAAATGCCATGGATTTCGGAGAAACGCGTTATTAGCGAGTAAAACGGTAATTTTTGATAGTTCCCATTTTTCACCATGAAGGAAGCATATGGCAAATTTGACTCCGCTACCAAAAATGTCAGAAAGTAAAGAACTAGTCCACATAAGAGAATAAGCAAAACTACGCGGCAAAATGAAACATCTATCGTGCCATAGAAAAAAAAGTGGAAAAAGCCATAGAAGCCGTTCTCACAAAGAGGACCATTTCAACGTTTATTGAAAGTCAATGATTTTGTCAACAGAGTCCTTTCGTAGTAGAACAAATTCGTGAAAACAAAACTTTATAATAATTAAAACAAAACATGATCATTTTACATCATTATGTCTATTAATCCCAAACATTTGATTTTTTCGCACGATCCATGTGTTAATAGAAAATGTTTTTCTTATAATTATTTTTATGGTATTTGTAAACTTTTTTCTAAACAATGGTGATGATATCCAATATAAATAGAATCCAATTCCAAAATAAAGACTACTCAACATTAATACTAGTGCTCGCAAGATGTAGTTCATACGACGAGAAAAATATGTTGGAAAATAATGAGTGCCATATGCATTAACAAGTGCAACAATATGAAAAGGAACTTGTGTAACGAAAAATGTTAATACATTACTAATCATAATTACTACCATCATTGAATCAATTTTAGTGGATAATGTTCCACTTTTTCCAGAATGTATTATTTGATTTGAATGATGTACTCGTCGCTTTGATTTACGCATATTATAAAATATTCGAATATTTGTGATAATCATAATAACAATTGGTATTACACCAACAATGACAATTCGTATTGGTGTCCATATTTCAGATATAAATAAATGATAACTTGATTTTAAATCGGCATAACAATTTCCATACTGATTTTCTTTATTTAATGGACAAAAATAAAATGAAAACATTAAACCAAATAGAATAAAATAAATTATTGTTAGTTTATAAATATGTTGTTTAGATAACGATGGACGAGGTTCAGAACGAATCATTCGATCTATGCAAATAGTAACTGCTATATACGAACTCATTGTACGTGAAACATTCTGAATCCATAATTCAAATCGACAATGTAAAAATACTAGTTTATAAAATTTAATATCATAAACTAAATGAAAATAATCAATAACTAAGGTATACAAATGAATTGTATTTAGAATGGTCAAAATTAAAAATAATAATCCAGTTGAAAGATTACGAACATTTTTTTGAACAAATATCGAAAATGAAAGAATATTACCAAAAAAACCTCCAATATATATGATTCCACCACAGATAGACGTAACTATCACGGCTATAATCATTTCATTTGATTGTTTTCGTGTTACAACGGACTCGAAAGATGAGATATTTAAAGTTAGTATCATATTCATTCTACTAGAAAAATATAGATAATATAATAGATAGATGTTTCTCAAAATTTCACTTTTTAAATCTACATGTACAAATGGAGACTATTAATTTCTGCTAAATAAAAACATAAGGTTTCTGTTTGATGAAGAATATTGTATAAAATAGTCATTATGTTACATATTTACATCAGTAAATGTAATCATGACATTATTTATAGGGATATCAATTTTATTAATATGAAAGAAGATTATTTAAATACATAATGGTTATAAATTACAGATGAAAAAAATTGAACGATTAGAAAGCTGTCATTTATATTATTTGAACAATTATTTTTGCAAATCTAATAAGTTTATGTTAAAATGGTATCCTCTCCTTTCGTCCCGTTTATTTTCTATCCTTCTACTCATTTTATAACTATTCATTTTTTTCTATCAACTGTATACTAATCAAATAGTAATACAATTAATTAAGATAATGTAAGAAATTGATATATGACTTTATAAGTGACATTTACTATTTTATTTACGAGTTACAATGAAATAGGTAATTTTACAGTACTAATACATTTGCCACATTTAATTGCAAGTTCAGTTTCAGACAAAGTAACATTTTTTTATCTTTTTAAAATATTCCTTCAATTTCAATATTCAGATTTAATACACGTTATTATACAGAATCTTTCACACAAACAGTCAAACAGAAGAAAGTCTACAAAAAGTAGAATAAAAGTTTGAAGGAATATTTTTAAAAGATATGAAAATGTTACTTTGTCTGAAACTGAACTTGCAAAACTTAAATGTGGCAAATGTATTAGTACTGTAAAATTACCTGTTTCATCGTAACTCGTAAATAAAATAATAAATGTCACTTATAAAGCCATGTATCAACTTCTTACATTATCTTAATTAATTATATTAATATTGATTAGTATACAGTTGATAGAAAAAAATGAATAGTTATAAAATGGGTTTACTCTCGATTCGTCCCTAATACTCATTACTCACTCTCACTTTTGATGTTACCTTCATAAGTAGTACGATAGAAAATAAACGGGACGAAATGAGAGTAATCCTGTTAAAATAACGACAATACAAATTAATAGAAATAGAAAGAAATATCAGAAGAAAGACTTAATCATATTTAGAAACATATATCGAATATATAACGGAATTCGTTTGATATTTTCATGTTCCTCGAGTCCGATAACTATAAACATGTTCAACTATCTATACGAACAATGTTAAAGTAGTAATTACTTTTCTAACTTTAATTTTCGTTATTTCAATGGATTTATACTTGAAACGTTTGTTATCACAACTTATCATTGTTTCTGATAAATTCACTGATTTGTAACTGTTATTCATTAATTGAACTATTAGAATTAGCTAGCTAAAATAGTTGTTACCGATATGCGACAAAATATAGACAAATACAAAACGTATGGGTGGGAATTCGGCTCGAAAATTTGACTTGGCAACACTTTTTATTTACAAAAGTTTGTCTAATATTCTTGAACATCAATAAATATTTAGCAACGTGGAGCTTCATAATGACGAGATTTAGCATCCAGACAGACAGAGAACTCATTTTTGAGTAATAACGTGTGTGTATCGCGATAAATGGTTCAGTAGTTTTTTTCTTGTTTTGTTTTGCATACTGTTACCCTATCATACAGTATAACAAGTTAATTTATGTTTCATTTGAAAGAGAATATGAAGTAAAAGTGCATGGTAAAATATGAGAAATTCTTGTTTTACATCGATCGGGGCAAAAATTTACTTTTAAACAGCTCGAACATATTTTATAAAAAAAAACGTTGTTAAAAACAGTAAATGTCTGTTTCTTATTGGGTTTCAATATTTTTTTCGCCATTGTAGTTAATTTTGAGCAATTTACTTTAAAAGTAGATGAGTAAGGGTTCTGTTTCACATTCTACGCATCATAGGATGCTGGTGTCAATCACTTCGTGCTGCTTATATATATCAAGTGTAGAAAAACAAAAGACAAGTCAGTCAATCTTTTAAGAATGAGGCTTATATTATCACATCTTCATCTTGTACAACAATACACTCTAAAAGAAATGCGACTTAAGATCAAGTTTGGTCACATCAATGTGTCTTCTTTCTCTGAAAAACGACACATTAATGTGACTAAACTTGATCCTAAGTCGCATTTTTTTTAGAGTGTAGTTTTGAACTCTATCAGCAATTCGTTTTAAGAAATGTACCAAATTTGATTTGGTTTACGAATTGCTAGACAAAATATACTAACAGAGATGAGAAAACATCGAAAAGATACTTTACTTTGTTCCGAATGATGAATATATTAGAATCGATAAGATTATAAAAATAGCTTAAAATCAAATGCTATTTTGATATTATATTTAAATGTAATAAAATACACATAAGCATATTCAAAAATCATGAATACGCTTAGTTTTAGTAACATCGTAAAAGTAATACACTCTAAAGTACTAGAAAAAACGAATATATATATATACAGTATAACAATAAACTAATCTTCTTCAAAACAATTCCATCTGCTAGTTTCCTCTGAATGACCACTAAAGAGTTCATTTATATTAGAGTTTCCATCTGAGGTATCATCTAACATTGTTCGTAATGCTTCAATATATTCAATAGCTTTTCGTAAAGTAGAAACTTTTGATGTACGTTTCGATATATTACTCGTTTTATCATTTATATCTAAAGTACATTTGTTTATTTTACTCAAAGATTTTGAAGGAGAATTTGGTAGTAATTTTTTAAGTACAAGAAATGCTTTATTAACGGATTGAACTCGTCGTCGTTCGCGCGTATTTCGTCTGTCGACAATATGTTTTGGACGTAGATGATGTGGTATGTGTTTTGAACGTCTTGTTGATGATTTTTGCTTAATATTTTCATTGCTCGATGATAACTGTGTTTTTGAATTGAAAAGACATGATTGATATGTCGAACAAACATTAATTGGATTATCAAAGTCGTTTGTTGTTCGTGATTGTATGTGACTGTAAGCAGTTTTCACAGAGGGATAAAATTGATTTGAACTATATGAAGACCATACATTTGTTTGGCATGGATAACAGGAACTATTTTGGTTATAAAATGTAGAACTGTTTTCTTGATTGTTGTATGACAAAATGCTGGAATTTTCCGTTGTCTTATCAGTATTGTCGATTTCAAAATTGTTTTCATCAAAGAAAGTTTTTGAATTCATGCCTGAACAATTGTACCATTCATTTTCGTTGTTAATATCAAGTTCAACGCATCCATCAAAACTTCTATGATAATCAGATTTTGATGTATGGGAAACATGATCAATTGCTACGAGTAAAAAAAACAATTTTGTTATATGTAAATTTTTTCCGATCTACACTTTTATTTTCGATAGTATATGATAAACTTACTATAGTAGTCATTGTTGTTATTGGAATAACAGTTTGTATTAAATGTTAAAGTTTCTAGTGGAATACGTTTTGTTGTTTTTAATGGATTATAAATATTAAAATTTGATGCCATATCTAGTTACAAAATCGTGTAATCTGTGTTTATTAGGTGAGATATTGCATGTATATTCTTCTAGTGAAAAAATAAAAACGGATGTTCAAGTCAAAAAATATTTTATAAATGTCTCATCTTCTAACGTTTTTTCTTTTTTTTTCGTCAACAATAAAGCAAATATGTTTTGATTCTTTTTCAACGTAGCCAGCATATCTCTTTAATTAGATTTAATTATTGACGCGATGCTAATCAAAGAAGAAATATGTGTGACTTGAGTTGTTTTGAAATACTTCATACACACACACACACACACACACACACACAGAAAGGAAAAGAATAGATCGACAGCAAAACATAATTGGTTGAATTGGTATTTTAGATTCATACCAATAAATCTCTCATAAACCATTCTCTCTGTAATTAGACAATTATATGACATCATCTTCGTTTTTTTACTATCTATTATTGACCATACTGACAAGTCAAAAGATTTATCTCTTTGACAAGAAAAAGAAGAATGTTTCACATAACGAAGTTTGTTTTAATGACATGATGGTTAGTGATTAAAGAGAGGTGTAAAATATCATTATATGTTATCGGTATTATCATCTTGAATAGTTTAAAAATCAAACTTCATACAAAGATGAGCTATTACACACTTTTTCGAGTATTCAAAAGTGAAGATGATTACAAATTCGAGCATAAGTGGAGGGTTTCTTATGGCATTAGTATTCATGTAATATGGACTTATATATCAGAAAATTAATCCTTTCATTGTTGTATAATGTTTACTCCGTGTACACGAGTATTAGAATTTTTTGAGCACATTGATTTTTTCAATTCCTTAGCAGCTAGCTAAGCTACATCAGGAAAACATTATTTTTAGAAATTAAGTATTCAAGACTTTTTTGAATTAGTCATTAACAAAATCCTAAGTACGCATTGCTCATCTTGAGTCATTCATGCTTGCTTGATTGATCAATAAAGAACACTCCATCATAGACACTGTCGACTTGTTGGAAAAATATGACAATCTTTTTGAACGTAAACTCTCATTTCAACTCTACTCAGTATTAGGACTCACGTCAGTAGTCTAATTTTTTTTGAGAAAATATGAAAAGTAAAAGTCTTTTTCGTTAAATAAGTGTGAGTGTCATACTTCGCTCGCCATACTCGATACGAATATAATATTTATTTTGAATAAATATACAAGTAAGATTTGACGTCAAACATTTCTATAATTTTTTCCCAGACACGTAGGAAAAAAAAGTCGAAATATATTCATGAGAGCATTTTTTAAAAAATATTTACAACTTACTGAAACATATCAACTGTCTTTGAATTTTTCCTTCTTTTCACTACTAATAATAAAATTATAAATTAAAAAATGGTCGACAAAAAAAATGAATTCAAAAAAAGATAGTCAACATTTCAAGGTATATTACTCAATTTGAAAAATAAGATTATTGGTATTTTTACTTTTTGGTTAAATGTTTGTCTGAATGCTGTTCACTACGCCTTTGCACGCCATATGTTTGGAGATCAAAGGCGAATAACAAGATGAAAAATGATTGTTTTGCTGTTTTCTTTATTCGAACAATTATCCATTTGAAGTAATCTCTTATTTTTAATAGAGATTCATACATAATTACTAGTATATTTATGATCAGCTGTCTATAAAATAATGTGCAATTCACTTATTAAAATTAGTTATTATGTATGTTCGAGGAAAACCATCAAACGACTAACGTTTTCCAAATTAGAAGCTAAAAAAATAATCAGTTTCATTGCTTTTTCTTTTCTTGATTGAAAGAAATATCTTATAAACACGCACACCGTCAGTATAATTGTTTTTTCATATAATTATCATAGCAGTGACATCTACACTATGATACTTTAAGACATGACGTGTCAAATAAAAAAATGAGGTGATACATCTCTGAAAATTGTTTTTCTACCGTGCCATGTTGAACTACAGCAAGAGAGTTGAAGTTAACGGTTGATGAGGAGCCCTTTGAAGGAAAATAGGCAGTGATTTCTGTTAACATTGAAAAGTACAACATTTACAGAATTCAGAAATTGAATGCTATGAGTTTTAGAAGTTGAATATTTTAGAATTTAATCATCCCTAGCAGAACATGAAAGATTTTCCTACTACGTGTGAAAATCTTTTTCTCGTCAGCTTGAATAATGAGAGAAATTTGCAAATTACAAGCACATTTCATACGTGCTAGAAAATTAAAAAGATTAATATTTTATAGATAGTACAAAATGACACGTTGGACTTTATGTCTCAAACCTTTAGGCGGGGACAGACGACGCTAAATCAAAGATATTATATGTAATACCTTTATCTTGACTAAAGTTTTAAACTTTAACATACATTGGAGGTATATAGACTGACTGGCAAAGATCTCAATTTGAACTTGAAATACAAACGATTATATATTAAGTATTAGAGAAAATAACGGGTAATTAGATATTTGTTCATTGAAATAAGAAAGTAATTATCTGCATTGAAGCTGTATGTTTGTGCATTCCTTTACTTTGTATATATTATTAACATAAAAGCTTTGCAAGTGATGGAAACAGAGAGGAGTGACTGACTACCAAATAATATAGGCAATTACAAAAGTTCTATTTTCATTTAATTAATACAAAGTTGTTTCGTCTGATTACAAGGAAAATGTAGAAGAGAGAGAGAGATTCAGTTGCAATTTTTCTTTTGTAAAAACAAGAAAAGATATCATAGAAGAGAAGAAAAAGAATCAGATCGACTGAGGTGAACAGGTCACGCAGACATCTATTAGACTCTGTTTACAACGATCGATTCAGTTCATTGATCACCAAAAATAATAGAACAGGTTTGATATTGGTTCGTCTGATTTTTTTTTTGCAGAGTTTTGTCACAAGACAATCGAGAATCCAAGGCTATACGCTTTTTGTGTACTGATAAAAGTCTCTTTCGAAGCGAGTGAGTATTCTCTAATATCGTTCTTTTGATTGAGTGAATTTTAAGCTAGAACATATATTAATATCTATTGTGGTTCAAATGAGTGAAAACTGTTTGTATAAAGAAGACTTCATATTGCCAAAATGACTTCGTGAGAAGCGTAAAAGTAAAGGTTTAAAGTATAAAAATCAGATTGCCTATATAAAAAAGGAATTATCGCAAAGTTTTGGTTAACCCCTGAAGACGTTAATTTTGGAATAATTACAGGTGACGCTACCATAATGGCGTAACTAGTAATTACTTTCGCATAAATTGCACCTTGGTTAACCCCTGACAGGTTAAATAAAACTTTGTGATAATCCTTTTTTTATATAGGCAATCTGATTTTTATACTTTAAAGCTTTACTTTTACCCTTCTCATGAGATCGTTTTAGCTATATGTTGTCTAAATAATTTTCAAATTAAAAACTTTACGTCACATAGTCATTTAGTCGCAAAATGTGATTTAAAATTTTGTCTCAACATGCTTCTGCGTTATGTGCGAATAAGCCAACACGCAACATAGCAGTACTGAATGCTTATAGTGTCGGTCAGATTTAAGAAATTGCTATAAAAATGGATACCGCTCGATATCTGGTCAGTAACGACTATTTAAAGATGTTTCATTTTAATACTTCAAACGGTTTATATTGATTATCAAATATTTAGTCTACAAGTGTAAGTTCGAAAGTGCAGTTTATACTCACAAAGGCTCGATTACCGAATTAACAGTGAGAAAAGACATCATAATGTCAATGACTAATTCATAATTCTAAACAGATGGATATTCATATTCGCATGAAAAATTTTCAGTTAAGGCAATTAAGATTTTAAAGAGAATACAATTTTAACGCACTGAAGCATCTTATAAAAATACTGAGTCATATTTTATATTCTTTTCTACGTAATATTCATACTAGACGTATTGAGTAAGTTATGATAAAATTTTATAATAGCGCTTCAAATTCTCTCTACCTACGTCATATGTATGTTTCAATTTTTTTCATAACTACAAAAAATGAGGCATAAACACATGCACATTTGTGTAGAATAAATGTAATGCAGACGAAAAAATACGTTTTTTCTTTTTTATTGCATTTGTTGCTGAATAAGAAAAAGAAACAGAAAGACAGAAAACGTAAGAGTTGCAAGGCAAAAAACGCGATATGACGCACACCTCAAACTTTAAACTAAACTTCTTTTTCTGTGTATGATATGAACAAAATGTAATGAGAAAAACTCATATAAAATAAGTTAAGACTATTCAAATGTTAAACACATGTGAGAATTGCAGGCGTAAATTTAAAAGCAAAAAGCAGTTTCTTTCATAACAGATGTAGTCGATATGTTGTCAGATCATTAAATAGAAATTAGTCGTAGAACAATCTCTATTTTTCGAATTTATTTTAACATGCAGTAAGTCTTACTTTATTTCAGATTTAATAATACTGCTGAATCCGTTATATCAAAATGGCGATGAAAGACGAAGCATTACCACTTAGTTTGGATGGTAAAAAAAATGTCATACATTTAATTGAACTTTAAATATCTTTCAATACAGGTCGATCACGCAATCCAACAACACAAGTGCCGACAATTAATTACACCGGTAGAGGTACGAAAACAGTTATGAATGTCTTTTCAAATCTACACAAAATTAACCTCAGTTTTTTTGAACATTTGAAGAAACAGAATTTTACCGAAAAGTCTTTTATCAGAGTATAAAAAACGACGTGTTACCTTTGAATTCATATTGAGGCAGACCATTCGTCGTTAAGTGGTCTGAAACGTCGAGTTTCACTGGTGTCCTGTGAATGCCCTATACAGAGTGGGCAATTTGAGCAGGTCATGTAGACCTTTTATTTGTTTCCTAACAACAATTAGTTTGAATCTCTATTTAAACGAAAAAGAAATGACCACGAAGAAAATTTGTTGAGAAAAATTGATTGAAGTGAATCCTTATCTAAGTTGAAGACTTCGAAGCTTTTTCTTGTGGAACGTTTAATATTATGCACCATTCAACATAATTTAAGATGTTTCCAACTATGGTATTTTTTTTGATAGAAAATGCTTTTAAACGACAACAAACGATTTTAGCTAAAAAAACCTTCGTTCTTTAAGAAAACTCTTTATGAGGTCAACGAACAGTTGCGCTAATATCGTGGACGTAACGTTATAATTCTAAACAGCGATGACAATTGATTTTATAAGTCAACCGACGACGTTTTCAAAGTTATTTTCTCATGTTTTTTTCCCACTATAAACTATTAATCGCATCTAAATGTTTTACGGTAATGTATAGTCTCAGCAATGAACTTTAATATCGTCTAGTCAGATATTGAAAAGTCTCACCATCGGACTGTCTGGTGAACAAGTTGTATAAATGATCTGCTCAACTACTTTGATGTTATTTTAGCTGAGGCGGATATTCGTCGGTCACCTAATGAAGGAATCGGTGCTTGTGGATGGGCTCTGGTGATATTATCTTATTTTCTTATGATCATAACATTACCATTTTCTTTATTTTTAACGATAAAGGTTGGTAAAATAATCCCTTATTTTTATATTTAAATATTCAGCTATATTTTCTTTTTATCAGGTTGTACAAGAGTATGAACGAGCTGTTATTTTACGTTTGGGACGTATTTTACCCGGTGGAGCTAAGGGTCCCGGTCTATTTTTTATCCTACCGTGTGTTGATACAATTGTTAAAGTTGACTTACGAACAGCAACATTCAATGTACCACCTCAAGAGGTAACTATCTTAAGACGAATCATGTAAAACAATAAAAAAACAATTCCATGAATTCTAGGTATTGACGCGTGATTCAGTGACAGTTTCAGTTGACGCTGTTGTTTACAGTCGCGTTTTCAATCCTATCATAAGTGTTACAAATGTGAAAAATACACAATATGCCACGCAACTACTTGCACAAACATCTCTACGAAATATTCTCGGAACAAAAACATTACAAGAAATATTGAGTGATCGTGAAACCATTGCTCATTCAATGCAGGTGCATTTAGACGAAGGTACAGATCCATGGGGAGTTAAAGTTGAACGTGTAGAAATGTGAGTATTTAGAATTTGTCTTTAGTCGTTATCTCTTTTATATCCTTATTTTTATTTTCAGTAAGGATGTTCGACTTCCTGTATCCATGCAACGAAGTATGGCAGCGGAAGCTGAAGCCTCACGAGAAGCGCGAGCTAAAGTCATAGCAGCAGAAGGTGAACAAAAAGCGAGTCGATCACTGAAGGTATAGATACTGATGTCTTTAAATTCAGTCTTTATTAATAGTATTTCTTTATTCTTTGGTCTAGGAAGCAGCTGATATTATTTCAGAGAGTCCCATAGCACTTCAGCTTCGATATTTACAAACATTGACACACATCAGTGCTGAAAAGAATTCGACAATTATTTTTCCAATACCAGGTAAACAATTTTATCTGAACAACACATTCTTATCTATCATCTGTGCATTATTTTTCTAGTTGAATTACTGAATTTTGTCAAACAAAAATCGAGCTAAAATATTGGCATATTCTTTCTAATATTTGATTTAATCTAAAAAGACAGAAATCACTCGTTTACGTCCAATTCATCAAAAATCATTATCCTAATTGCTGGTTTTTTGCAGCATTCTTTCTTATAACTGTTTTCTATTGTTCTTCATATTTGTTATTAAAATCTGTGTAAAGTCCCACAAATTTGTATATCTAGAAAAATACGATGGAAAGCGCGAGGATCAAACAACTAATTACGACATAAGGATCTATTCATCGCTTTTGGGTTCTGTATACTGTGAGAAAATTTACTAATATCTAACAATATGTTCTGATTTGGAGCATAAAATCAAACGACGAAATAAGAAATATACAGAAAAAATATTATTTTTTTGTGGAAATATCAGATAATGAGCTTTTATGGTATAATCAAGGTTATCAAGACAAATGAATAGATCGACTAATTAGCTCAAGCAACACTAAATCTTTATTTGAGCATACATGCTCAATATATTTACAGTATCGAGATTGCATATATTAATGTTATTTTTTGGCAATATTTTGCAGTTTTATACATTTATACTCGCGAGCGTCGCTCGATAACACGCTCCTGTTTGTTTCTTTGTTAGCTGTGTCTGTTTCATGTAGTTACCATACCCTACTCGAGACCAGGAGTAACCAGGAGTCCACTGGAAATTTTGTTGGGAGTCTCGACTAAGGACTCTACACATTGTGACAGTTCTGTCACAAGACTGTTCGTTATTGAGTAGCGAACGTAGTTCAATATACATTAGGACATTTTCCAGTTTTTCAGTCGTTTCTATTCTGAACCATTCTTGTACAATTTTTAGCTAGTCTCAAGGCATCGTAACCTATTCGAATTAGACCAAATCCGATCCGATCAAAATCGATCTAAAAATTAAAAAAAAAAAATTCTCACTCTCCGCACTTTTTAGTTCATTTCGATGAACTAGATTTTCTTAAATCAGTCATGTTTTATAAAATCTGAAGATGCCATATGGTAGAGTAGATTGAGTTGTACTACATTCAATATAGAGACGTGAAGGGTAGGATAGGAGCAGGGCTCTAATGTCACCTGAAGCCACAGGGTAGAGCTTGGACTTTGTTTGACAGATCTTGATAAATAATATCGTAGGTAGGACACGCGAATCAGTCGCTAGCGACACTTAGAAAGCTTGATGCTCATTGGTTGTCAAAAGGGCCAGACTAGTTCCAGTTCCACTTCAGTTCTTTTGAACGCGAACTATAGTTACCGCTATAGTTAGTTATGCTATAGCATGGTAACAGTTCACGTTCAACAAGAACGCGAAATGGTACCAGTTCTTTTTAAAAAATTAAAATTGAAATAAAATCGGTGAACTTACTTACATTGACTTTGTGTAGTACGCCAAAGATAGATGGTGTGTTTAGATGACTAAACCAAGTCAATGGAACTAGCTACATTGGTTTTATTTTATTTTGAATTCTTGAGAAGAACTGGTAATCAGTTCCGGTTCAATAGGAACAGATCTAGTGATCAGTTCTTTCGACCAGTTCTTAGGAACTGGGAACTGTCCCACCCGTAGACCAGGTACAATATTAATGGTAGCCGTATGGGAGACATATCAAGAAGAGAAGCAAAAAGAAAAAAAAAGGAAATATTCCGTCTGCTGAAGGAAGCCTGTTCAAAACAAATACACCTTCTTCAGCAACCGACGATTTTCGGAATAGTCTGTCGGTGACATTTTGCTGCTAAGAAATTTTAAAAAATAGCTATTTCATCTATGATTTATATAAAAAAATAAAATAAATGATTACCATGAAAAAATCTCAAAGATTGCGAAGGGTAGGGTCAGGGTTCCGCTGTCAAAGAGTAAAATAGGGGGAGGGTAGAAAATTTTTTCACAGAGTAGGGTCAGGGCTCGAGAAACAGTTACTCTGCACATCTCTAATTCAATACCAGTGACAGTATGAGATGTCCATATAGTTATCTAAAAACAAATATAAAACCGAAAAAGAAAAGGTGTCCGATGATTTATTGATTCAATTGGGCATATGTAAACACTAATAGAATAATAAATTATACCTTTTTCACGCGCGAACCCCACGCATTAGATTTGATGATGTTATCGTGCTCATACGTGAGAATTTTACAACTTGCGACAACAGTATGTTTGATATCTATTATCATGCTGATGGCTCATGCTTCATAATGTCATTCACATATAAGTTATTATCAGCGCCTCAACACCTATTGTCACCTGTCATGAGACTGTAATGCTTGTGCAAAGTTTTACATGGTCGACGGAGGAAGCTGATAAGACTCATAATTTAAGTATTATTATGCAATCTATTTGTGGATTATGTATCACTTAAATTACCTATCGAATTGACTAGTCGTAATACCACTACAAACTTCTGTAATTAGGCATATAAAATTCACTATTAGACAATGAAAACGAGAAATTATTTGCTCGTCGTTGCTAGTTATACACTATCTCTTAATTTAGAATCGTCTGTTAATCAACATCATTTGTCAAAACCTCGGTAATACCCTTCATTGTATTAACATTTTATAAACAGAATAAATATAACCTTTTGTCTAAAATGACGAAGTGTGAATAAACTATCTCGATGTTATGCACTAAAACTTACACCATTTTCGGCGTTACATTTACATTAAAAAAAAAAATGTTTGTTAAATTAATATTCTGCTCTCTACTTCTATCACTAACGTTATGTTCAGTATTATTAAGAAATCAAAATTTTGAACTTTCTTATGATGCTTTGAGTGACTGGATAACAAATAATTCTAACATTTTTCACATCGAATCAAAAAATGATCAATGTTGTACATCGATCAATGGAATGTATCATCTTGTCTCTCCTGTTAACGGTACCGGTTCAATTCAAACAGATAACTTTATTGTTAGTGGTTTAGGATGGATGGATTTTTTAATTGCTGGCTCAGCTAATCCAGATTTATGTAGATTAGAATTAGTTTTAACAGAGAATAATATAGTGATTTATAGTGAAAGTGGTCCAGGTTTATGGCCAAGTTCATCTGGAAATTCAAAACCATCTTGGAGACATACACGAAAATTTTGGAATGTATCATCTTACTTAGGAAAAACTGTTTATTTACGTTTAATAGATTATTCAACGGATGGATTTATTGCTATTGATGATATTCATACTGAAGTATCACATCTAGATATTCTATTTAACATTAGATATTTAAATTATCGCCCACTATATCATTTTTCACCAGATACCATGTGGATGAACGATCCAAATGGTTTAGTGTATTATGATCAAGAATATCATCTCTTTTTTCAACATTATCCATACGATAAAAAAGCCATGAATATTCATTGGGGACATGCAGTTAGTAAAGATTTAATCACCTGGACTCAACTACCGATCGCATTACCACCAGAAGATGCAGTTGCTGGTATATGGTCGGGTTCAGCTTTTGTTGACTGGAATAATGCATCCGGCTTTCAAAAAAATCATAACACAAAACCTTTAATAGCCATATATACACATCAAAAGCATGGACACCAGGAACAACATATGGCTTACAGCAATGACCGTGGTAAGTTAGTGGAGATATTTAAGTTAATATTCTGTTTATTAATTGCGTTTTAAAAATGTCTTATTCATAGACAAGAGACTTTACATTCGTAATGAAGTTAAAAAATCTACACGATGAATTTGACTTTGCGATGAAATAGATATGGAATAATTCGAGAACAGTCGCTCACAAACAAGAAAAAAAAATTTTTGCGCTGGAAATTTGAAGGAAAAAGTTCAAATTTCTTCCTTTAAAGATACAATTCTAAAACGTCTATAAGAATTCGATACTGCCTGTATATAGATGAGGGTACTACAATCATATATTTGTTCTTAGAATTCAGTCTATAAATAAAGGAATCCCAATTTTTATTATAACGCTTCCCGTCTCATTTATCGCAATAATTTACCTGAAGGACTTTACAACCGTCCCTATGGAGAACCGTATATCTCAGCCATCGTATGTTCCTAGAAAAAAAATTGGAATTTTTATCGCAAATACACAGTCTACAACCTGTCGTTTGATTAATTTGTTGTACATTCAAACAAATGTGTTCAATTGATAAAACAGATCGCTGATAAAATAAACAGCGTACTCTCTTTTTATTTAGGACGTACATGGACAAAATATGTTAATAATCCAATTTTACCGATGCACAGTATAGATTCTAAGTCAACAGAAGAAAATGATAATATTCTTACTCTTGTTCACCCTGTATTTCGTGATCCAAAAGTATTTTATCATTACGAGACTGAATCATGGATTTTAGTTGTCTCAGGTGGTACGCATGTTAAATTTTATCGTTCAGATAATTTAGTTAATTGGAAACTTATGTCCGAATGGGGTAAGGAACATTATTCTAAGACGCATCCCGGTGTATGGGAATGTCCCGATTTATTTAAAATGGAAACTGAGCAAGACAAAAATGTGTGGGTTCTAATTATATCTATTAATAGAAATTCTGTTTCGGGAGGATCAGGGATGCAATATTTTGTTGGGACATTTGATGGTGTGCAATTTACACTAAATTCTAAGTCGTTAAATACAAGTTTGTGGCTAGATTATGGACCAGACTATTACGCTGGCATTACTTATTCTGATATTCCACACTATGATAATCGTCGAATAATGATTAGTTGGATGAACAATTGGCTGTATGGACGGGATTTGCCAACGTCAGTTTGGTGTGGACAGATGGGCATACCAAGAAGTTTAAAACTTTATATTGACCACTATACAAATTCGTATCGTTTATCACAGCAGCCTGTCATTGAACTTTATCATTATCAAAGAAAATTAATTTCATTTCACCGTCAAATGATTCATCAAGGATCAAATCTATTAGAAAATATCCTCGGTGTAACATATATAATCACAGCATCATTCAATCTCAATACATCTATTTTTAATTGTCAGACATGTGAACTAGGTTTTCAATTTCGAAAAAGCAGTGAAAATATGAAAGAGTACAAAGAGTATACCACTATAAGATATGTTCCATACAACAATACCATCTATTTTGATCGTAGTCAATCGGGTGAAACACGATTTCATTCAGGGTTTCGGACAAACTATAATATAACGCTTGACGATGAAGTATTCGATAAAGGTTTATTAAAATTTCAAATACTCGTCGATCGTTTATCAGTGGAACTGTTTATAAATGATGGAAAATATGCATTCACAGCGCTCATTTTTCCTGATTTTAATAGTCAAAATATGGCACTGTTCACAAATGGAGCAGATGTGATGATTGATTACGCAGATATATTACTTTTGTAGAGTTCGCTTTATAATCTTTACCGATAAGTGAAAACAACATTGATTACGTATAAAGTACATCAGACCGATAGAGTTTTTTATCAGGAAAGCATCCAACATCAAAGTAATTTAATCGTTCTCGTATTGCATTTTAAAACTCTCTATTTCCAGCTATGATCGAAATTCTCATAAAATTTTCGCATGGCTTTACGTAATTTCATGCCGTATGTTACACGATCCGCGTTACCACGTCGAATAAATGAGTAACCATCGCGAAATAGAGCCATCAACGGTGTAAAACGATCATCCTTG